TAAGAACACCAATATTTGATAATATTTACCAGTAAATGCAGTGCAAAAAAGTTTGTGCGTGATTACGCCTCAATATTGAATACTTTATGGCTAAATTAAAACGGCTGCAATGTGAGGTTTTAGTTCATGTAAAAAACAATTATCAAAAAAACTTCCATCAGGTTATCTGCAGGTTCATCTGAAGTCTGAATATGATAGAACACTAAAACCAGTCATACACATTGAATTAATAAAGATATAGTATCAATTCTGTTCATTTTATTTCAGTTGCTGAAAGATAAAACCTTCCTGACGATCCTGCAACTTTTTTGAATTTTCAAGAAGAATAAAGTTCATTGTTCAGTTTTATCTTTTAACCACTGCTGCTTGCTTACACTAAATATCAGTAAAATCTCAGAATATTCATTGTTGTTAATGTGGCCCTGTGAGTCCAACACTGTTGATTTAGAAACCTGACAGAATATTTAAAGGAAACTTTTTGGGTTTAAAGTTGCACTGCAAATTAAAATCTAAATGGCCAATGGAACAAAATAATTTACATTTAAAATTAGAATAAACAATTACATCGTCTTATATCAAGAGTATATTATCTAATTATCCTACTTTAACAGTAAAAATACTTAATTCTATTGGCCAGTCATCTTATTTACCTAGTCAAATTATGGGTAAATACACTTAATTTAATAGATGTTTACTTATTTTTAGACAACTTTGCAGTGAAGACAGTTAATTTAGATGAACTGCCAAATTAGAGGTGTTGTGAAGTCCTGCTTTTATCATTAAAGTCAGTAAGCAAAAGTTAATCTTCTGTCCTGGCAGCTATCTGAAACGGCGATCCATGCTTTGATTTTGCCTCGCCTAGATTGCTATAATTGACTTCACGTTGGAGTGAGTCAGTCTTCACTCTCATCTTCAGTTGGTTTAAAATGCTGCTGCACATCTTTGAACTGCTGTTCCAGAAACTAAGCAAATAATCACCTTTCTGGCCTCACTCCTATGTCTGTCTGTGTATTTCAGAGTTCATTTTAAATTTCTTATTTTTGTTTTAAATGTTTAAATAATCTCACCCTACTGTATTTCTCTAAGCTGTACTATGTCCATACTCATCCTCTCTGCCCCTCAGGTGGGCTGAACAGCAGCTCCTGCAGGTACCAAGATCTAGGAGGAAGCTCAGAGAGGGCAGAGCCTCCCTATTGCTTGTTGGCTTTTCTGGTTTTATTGTGAACACTGAACCTATGTAATATTTATGTTTATACATTGCAGTTTTGTGTAGCAGTTTATCCCACCTGTAATTGCTTTAAAATCCTGCATATAAACTAAGTTAGGTATAGTATGACAGGGGTTCCTAAAGTAACATGCCCCCAGAGGGTGGAGCAGACTCCTAGGGTGGTGAGGAGGTCCATTTTTTTAATCATTGGGCCTCATGCAACAGTTTCGTAATCTTGTTGTACATTTCTCTTACTTTTTCTCCTACTGTGGGCTTTTACAAACACACAGCATCAGATTCAACAAACATTCTTCAGTAAAATATTGTAAATGATCCTCAGAAACCTGATGCAGTCCACCTGTGCGTAAGTGAGCGCTCGTTCCAGAGGAATGTAAACCTGCATCATTACTGCCCCGACATAAGGCTATGACTTCCAGCACTTAAAGGTGTTCAGTCACAGAGATGACTTTGAAGACGAGAAAGAAAAATTTTAAAGGTTCGGAGATTGAGATTCTACTGACTGAGAGCTTGGCAGCAGAATTAAAGCACCAGTAAAAGCCGAGCAGTGGAGAGAGCTGTAAATGATGTGGTTGCACTTACAAAAGTTAGATAAAAAAAAAATGAATAAAAAAATAAATAATTTAATCCTAAAACTGTAAATGAAAACTATTGATGGAGGCAAGAGATGCAACATATAATGTAAATGTTTAATAGGAGTTCTCCATCACACAGCAAGACAACATTCTGCTTGATCTCCTTTTAATACACACAAACACCTGTACTGCACATCTCTAGAACACATCTGTCATCCCTTCATCATGCTCTCCATCTCTCTCATGCATAAAAATAAAATGCTGACTGGGAAACTCTAATCTGATCATTTCAGACAGACTCAATCATTCCACATCTTATGTAATTACGAAGCCAAGGCAGCGCCATGGAGTGAAATGAATACAAGTCTTACCATTAGAGGAGTTTCCAGCAGCAACACATTGCTGAACTTTCTATCCATTTTCTGTTCCAAATGTTATTTTAATAGTAGCTTGATCTCAAATAGAGCTCACTGACTGTTCTTTCTTTTGACAAAATTACAACAGATTAAACTAGAGTCCCCTGCATACCGACATGCCAGCTGCAGGTGTAATAACCCATAGGTCTGTCATCACTGAATAAAAAGGTAATTTATTATTGCAGGGTTGCACAATATATAATAATGTAGTCTAATAAAATTGACAATTGTTTCTAAGTGACAACAAATATCATTTAGAGAAAAACTAGGTTGGGATAAGAGCTAACTGATTGCGCAACACTCCTACATCAAGTCTGGAGCACTCGTATAATTTGTTTGTTCCTGAGAGAAGATTATAAATAGGAGAAAAATGGTGATTATGACATTTTCTCCTAAATCACGCATATGAACAGTTTAAGAACTAATTTGTTTATACCAATGGTTTTTGCATGAGACCCAATGTGTTGTGACCCCTGAGGCCTATGGAGAGCCAAAAGGGACAAAATGAAAAAAATATCCCACTAAATACATAATTGTACTATTTATTTTGTTATCTATACATTTAAGAACATATTTTAAAAATGAAAAACTAAAATAATATTATATTAAGTAAACCATAAAATAATGAAATGTGTAAATATTTTATAAAAACTGAAGTAATGTTACAGTACATACAGTTATTTCACTATGTTTATAATATAAATTAATACAATGAAATGATATATAACAAAGGAGCCGTTTGTCTTTCCCAGCATCTCTCTGTCAATTTTAAGACCAAACATTAATCACGCCTGTGGACAGCATAAACAGTTGCTGCCCTGAACTGTTTTACAGGCCATAGAAAAACTCCCACACCCAGATTAATTTGATTTATCAACTTGGAGGAAAATGCTGAACGCTTTAAAGCTTAAGCTTCTTACGGCACATTAAAGCCATGTCCCGTGTGTTTTCCAACATGAGAACTGCACTATGCTTTCTTTTATACACACATACAGATTGAGACATTAGAGAGGAGGAAAGGCTGAAATCTAAAAGACAGATTAATAATCCCACAGTGGGATTACCGAAGGGCACCTCTCAAGGTTTTATGGCTGAATAGATCACAGAAATCTCCCTCTGCCAAAGTTTAAGGGTTTTATTTTGTGGTGAGATAAAATCATCATGTCTGGCTCTCCTGGGAGTTAGAAAAAAATAATCACTACTTGTACCAGGAGAGTTGACTTATTCTATGAAGCTCATGATTTGAAGCATTTTTACTGGGGACCTGGACACTAATGCTTACTCTGCCAATCAGGGTTAACTGCTGAAATGGTGAGTTTGTCACATAAATCTCAGCCACCAGTTGAACTGAAGGCTGGAAAGAAGCTCAGACATCTTAATCAAACCAAACATTTATATGACGACCAGATATTACTTTCTGACAGAAAAACACAGTTGAGCCACATCCAAAAGCATCAAATTCAATGATGCTAATGTGGTAATAATATATCTAAAAGCTTTGATATTACCAAGCTGATACGAAAACTCTGCTTCTACTCATATGTGTTTAGAGTTTATGTCAGAAATGGTTTTGGAGAAAAGTCCGGTGAAGGAGCTTATGTAGCACATTGGTTTATAACAAATGGGTCTGTAATTCTCATACCCAATGTTGTTGAATCTTATTTTCAACTACAGTAATATTACTTTAAGCCTTTTCTGACATGTTGCACAAAAAAAAAAAAAGTGATAAAAATACGTCTGATTAGTGCTGATATATCAGATCAATATTGGTATTGGTTAACGATCAAAGCTACAATATTGGTATCGTATCAGAAACATACAAGTTTTATTGGAACATCCCTACTTTTTGCTAATTACAGCATATATTAGGCTTTTATCAACTGATTTTTTCCAGATAGCTTTTCAAAGTATTTTGTGCCATTCTCTTGTAATGGAGCAAGATAAAGTTCTATATTTTGGATAGATCTAGAATATATATCTTATATATAACATGTACAGGATATATATATATATATATATATATATATATATATATATATATATATATACTGAACTGTGAGTGATCTAGAAATATGGATCATGACAGAAACAACTGTACCCCAGATAACAACAAGGAAAGGAACTTGCTGTGTCAGAAGGCTGAAATTGGGAATAAAGGAATAAAGTGAGGAGTCCTACGTTGTTGGGCAGTGGTTTTCAAACTTTCTTACATAGTGTGACAAAATATCAATGAAGTCATTGTAAGAGGAAAAATAGTTCTTAAATAATCAAAACCAATGCTAAATACTAAATAAGTATTAAATTAATTTATGATAATATATGCTATTATGAAATAAATGATATGACAAAAAGAACTGCAAATGATAGGTCCCTTGGACCAGTTTTATTTTTTTATTTCTACATTTTGATGTTAAAAATGAGATTTCTGCACTTTCAGCTTCAGGCGTATTGAGATATGATCACTGTTTTCATATTCTATATATGAGATTTCCAGACCAGCTTGTGGCTCTTAGGTTCACTTAATATATCAAACGATGATTAATTATGTTTTTTGCTCCATTCTTTACTTAGAATTACCTCCAATTTACTAGGAAAGTGAAACGAAAATCTTATATTCAGGACAATTTTTTGCTGTTAAATTGTATTGATTGCATATGTTTGTTCAAAATATATGCAGCATTCGGTTAAAATACATGTATTCCATCAAACAAACTACAAACATATAGATGTAAAGGTGTAATGAACTCATCTTATGATGAAACATTTTTTCATGTTTATGTCCAGGAGACACTGATGGAGCTGCTGTTTGACGCAGTGGCGTCGTCCATGCGACAGGGAAAGGGTCTGGTTGTCAGTGGCTTCCCCAGAGACCTGAGGCAGGCGGAGGAGTACGAGGCCAAGGCAAGGCGGTGCACACACTGACATGTGGTCAGAAACATCAATAAAAGATAGGAAAGTCAGACGCAAGTTATATATTGGACCAAAAAGAAGGAAAGCGAATGATTCAGCCTTACAGCACAGTCAGACCCAAAGCTGTGAATACAAGATATTCTAATATTTTTATAAGAATAAGAAACCTGATAGAAATAAGATGTTCACAACGAGGTATTGTTATATGAAACAAGCTGAGCATTCGCTGTACAGATCCACTGAGATGTTTTCAGCTTTGTGCTCTGCTGTGGGATCAGATGGGGGAACCGAGTGCCGTGGTCCTGCTGAGCTGTTCTCCAGAGACCATGTCCAGCAGGATGCAGAACCGCAGGAGATCCTCCTCCGACAGGGAGAACGCCCTGCAGAAGAGGGCCCAGAACTTCTGCAGCGATGTCCAGGCCGTCATAGCTTACTATGAACGCAAAACCCTGCTCCAAACGGTAAGCCAGGTTGAGGGTTCAATTCCTTGTTTCTCCACTTAAAATCCAATATGTGCTATTTAAAACTGTTTTGTTCCAACACCATGGCTTATTTCTGCATCAGCTGATCCATTCCAATAATGGCCAATACTGGTATTTTATTCCGCTTATCAAACATTCATTAATATTTCAGTAAACTGTTTTAAGGGTTTTGATTAAATAAAATAAATACATTTGGCTGTTTATTACATTTATTCCAAGATACTGACAGCCTATCGTTTGGGGTTAAAAAAAAAATAACACACCTAGAGTTACAAACCTAATTAAATTTTAGATTTTATTCAGATCAAGATTGCAAGGTAGATGGGTGTATCTGAAGAGTTCCTTATGTTTACAGATTGGTGTTTTGTTTCCGTTTGTGAGAGCAAAAAGAGGCAGCTATCCAACCAATACATCAGCAAACCCAATTTAGGCTATTAATTTTTTTAGTTAGAAAGTTATTCCTTAAAGCTAACATACCACACTCCATTCCTTTTAGTCGCAGTGCCCTGAAACTTTCAGTGGAGTCCTTGGCCCAGCACATCTGCTAATCATCTAATAATATCATTCAGTCGTGTTGAGGCAGATGAACACAGAAAAGCTGGAGAACACCAGCCCTGAGGGACTTAAGTTTGACATAAATGTTTAATGGAAATCTTTAACGAATTTTACATTTTCTCAGATCTATCTTGACAGGGCATAAATACCATTGACTTAAAGTAGAAGGTTTATATGGATATCTTTTGTGAAGCTAAAACTTTAAACCATTAATTTTATGAAAGGAAATCTGTTTGTGGATGAAGAATAAAGGGGGGATATTCTACTTTATTAGAAATGCTACTGAGGTCAGTTTTTTGCACAGACAGAAGTGTCGCCACCAACTGTTTTTTGTAATTATTTTGTTATTTAGAAAGACAGATTTCCATCACATTCATTAATTACTCTCTATTAACTCTCTACCACCCCAACTTCGAAATACGGACTCAATTCTCCGTTTTAAAATGCAACTCAAAACCCATCTGTTCAAGATTGCTTATTCTCTTTAAAAATATCAATTTCACTGTCACAGCCTCTGTATTTTTTAAATGTTTGTAAATGTCTTTATAATTAGTATTTTTATTTTTTCTGACACTTTTTATGTTTTTGTACGGTGACCTTGAGTGTCCAGAAAGGCGCCTTTTTAAATAAAATGTATTATTATTATTATTATAATTAAAGTTTTACTCATTTAAGGTCCAAGCAATTTGGTTCATACTGCTTTTCTTGTATTTTGTTTTACAGACTATTGCTAATTTTAGTTTTGAACGGTAACAAAAATGAACAGAATTGAACAATAATTGGGATTGCACCACCTGGAGCAATAAAAACCACAACAACATAAAAGAGCAGGACACATAATTCACAAGAACAATCAAATGAAGTCGGATCTAATCGTTTTACATACTCTGTCCATTTGGTCCAGATCTTATCAAACTTTCCTTTTTCAACTTGGAGGGGAAAAAAATCTTTTCCATGGCATAAATCTGGTCAAAAATTTCAATCAGTTCATCGATTGTGGGTGGATCTGGTTTTAGCCATTTCCTTGTGATGGCTGCCAGTAGTATGACCAGCAGTTTTATTCCATCCATTTTCTAACATGCTTAATCCCCAAGTGGGGTTGGGAGCGGTGCTGGTGCCTATCTCCAGCAGTCAATGGGCGAGAGGCGGGGTACACCCTGGACAGGTCGCCAGTCCATCACAAGGCAACACAGAGACAAACAGGACAAACAACCATTCACACACACACACACACACACACACACACACACCTAAAGAGAATTTAGAGAACACTGTAAAAACGATCTAGAAATAAGTAAAAATTTCTTAAATTAAGTGTATTTAACCTCAATTTGAGCAGGTTAATGAGATAGGTTGCAAATGGAATGAGTAATTTTTTAAATATAAGTTGCCCAAGTACAACGTTTCACATTTGAATGGAATTTTTACATTGAATATATTTTCAGTGTTTGTGGAACTCTTCCCAATATGGTTTTATTACCTGGCAGTCACCACCTACTGGTTTATAGTGGGACTTACACTGTGTTGCCTTCCTGTCCTCCTTCACCAAAGCTTTATTTCGAATGGCATTCATTTCCAGCTTTCTACTCTATGCAACACAGACGTGTATATATATATATATATATATATATATATATATATATATATATATATATCCAACATATATGCCGTTCTCTATCATCTCCACACCACAGTTGGATAATTGGTGATATTATTGCTACTTTAAAAGTCAGCGCTGACCTTAAAGGCAATGCCTGACTCACTGCCGGCTTTACTTAAATGCCACGACTGGTATTGAGGCCACCAGTTCTAAGCGCTGCAGCTATAATCGTTGTCCTGAGCCCTCTGTAGAGACACTGATAGGCCTCTGTTTGTCTCTGTCTGCAGATCAACGCAGAGCGTTCGCCACACGAGGTGTTTGCCCAGATCTGCCAAGCCTTAGAGTCATCTGCCACCTTCTAATTCTCATCATTTCCACCCTGATGCTCACCAGCCCCACTGTTGAAGAAGCCCCACCCCTTTCCATTACCTCCACAACTCCCTCACACCTGCACCAGCTTATTGAACTTATGTGGTATGCATGCCTCACCTGCAGTCAGTTAAACCCCCTCCACTTCATTTTGCTTGGCCCCGCCCCAGATCTTACATTAACCTCAGTTTATGCTGCCAACTGAACGAGGCTCAACTGTACAGATAAAACAGCTTTCCCTGCTGCCACTGAGAGCACGCCGGACGTTTCCACCAAAGGCAAAGCAAGACAGACGAAACGTCAGCGTGTTTCCATCCCCGTGCTCAGCACTTTGCTTTGTATCGTAACAAGCATGCAGCTCTAACAGTTTAAAGCTTAAAACTGCCTTTCTAGCATTAAATAAAACGCAGCGGCGCTTTAAGAGTATTAGGATTACCGCATTTGTATGTTTTAAAAGCTCATTGTACTGATTTTTGTTTGAGTGGTATCTGACATTCCAATAAAGCCAATGCATTTGTTTAATGGAGTATTTCTGAGTGTTTGGTGTGCCTCCTCTAGTGTCATGATCTGGCAGCTCCATCTGCTGGTGAGAAGATGACAGCAGAAAAAGCATGTGAAGATATTCCCAGTGCAGCCCTGGAAGAGTCAGAGTCCCAGTTAAACAAGGATAAAGGAGTCATTAACACAGAAAAATAGTCTCCATCACCCTACTTCCACTTTAAGCTGGATACAAAGATTTTGGAATTTCTTTTTTTATATCTCTAGATGTTTCTACAGTTAAACATTAAACAGTTTGTGCCTTTTTTTTTAAAGATTTTTTTGTTATAAAATGTACAAACTCAATATTTAAACCTTCAGATTTCCTACTTTTATTTTTTTCATTGGTACGTATGGAAAAGATAATGGAGTAAAAGTGATTTTACACAGATTTATGTTAAATGTTAATTCATTGCCTTTGATTTGCCACATCAAATGTTAGTTCAATCAGATCGTTTTTGTTTTGTTGTCCTCTTACTGACAGAATACACAGCAAAACAAATGTTGAGCAATGTTTAGTCAAACATCAGTTTTGTCTGGATAATTACATATGATAGGACGAAGCTGAAACTTTCAAATATATAGAAATACACTAAATCGGGGGTCAAACAACCTGTTGGCGACAGTCAAAACAACTAAAGGCCTATTCATACCTCACGTAAAAGACGGATACGGATACGTGTGGAGTGTTTCATACGTTCTAACCGTCGATTTCGCCCGTACTTTGACACGAAAATTGGGAGCTTACGCTTACGGACGAAACGGATCAATACGGAGCAATACTACCGGAAACGGTGGGGGCGCTATTGAGTTTTTAGTACAAAATGTCAACAAAATCACAAAGAAGGTTAGAATGCAACAGAATCAGGTCTTGGACCATCGCCATGTTTTGATCAATGACGAATCATTGGCGCCCAGCACTGCCACCTAGAGGAAATACGGGTTATTGCGCACCTCAACGGACGGAGGTATGAAGGAGTCAACGGATAGAACGTACGGACAGAAATACGGACGTGCAGGCCAAACGTGAGGTATGTATAGGCCTTAAGTCGCCGAGCGGCTGATTAGGGGAATCCTTGTTGACGCGCTCAAAAAGGTTCAGTCCAATATGCTGTTCAGATCCTTTTATTGATCTTCAAAAAACATGCAGGCAGCATACAAACAAATCCACAGGTTGGATCCGTGATCAGGCGCAACAATAATCTCCAAAACTTAAAGCGGTCAGCAAAATGTAGACATCCCCCATTACCCACTCTCTGACACGAACACCAGGTGAACAGAACAGGTGATTTTACCAATCACCGCTGACACCACGTGATCAAAGCTATGCCCATTCACCACACAACCTTTAAAATCCTCAGACAAATTTTTCCCTCAGTTCAGCTGTAAAAATAAAAAAATCAAGAGCCACAAGGATTGATGACTTAAAAAATTATAGAAAAATAGATACATTTTTGGATGAATATCTGCCAAAAGAAATGTATCATAATTAAAGGATCTCAGTTGTTCCTTAAAGACATAAAACCAGATTTTTCTATGATAGGAGGTAAACATTTGCAGAAAATGATGTAAAGAAAAAACCTATTTTCTAACCTGATGCATGAAAAAAACAAAGGATCTAAGACATAACTGGTACTTTTGGTCGATTCAATATAGTTATTCAACAAAACAACTGCTAAAACTTGCATTTGTTATGTATAATTTGCTTATGATTTTGCCCAAAGTTTTAAAAACCTGTCCAGAAGGTCTTAAGAGCCATAGGTTTCAGACCCCTGTGCACTATGCTTTACCCAAATACATGACAAGTAACCAGGTTTCCTATAATTTATTTTCATAATTATGTATATGACAAAGAAGAAATCCAAAAAAGTACAACTCTGATGGGACTTGGACCAACAACCTTTTTTTTTTTTTTTTACTGCACTAGTGGCCCGTTTCATGGACAGTAGGTCTGACAGGAAAGGAGGTATGAGAGAAGGGGTGAGAAGTGCTGGAAAGGACCACAGGCCGGATTCCAACCCAGGTCGCCTGCGTCGAGGACTAAGGCCTCCATACATGGGTCGTGTTCACTAACCACTGCGCCACCAAAGCACGCCCCGGACCGACAACCTTTCAATTAAACCATTTGCCTAGAAGTCCAGTGCACTGCACCACAGAGCCCAATGAAGTGCTTTGTTTGGTTGCCTGTTTCTTACCTTTAGGTCAATTAAGACTATGAGGTAAAAAGATGTAGAGAAATCCTTTGAGTTTGTTCTTGAAGATATAGATACAATAGATTTAAATAATCTAAAGCTAAACTGCCTCATAGGAATTTAAATGTTTTAATAACTTGTTTTTACTGTCTGCATATGGTTAATAATCCAAATCATTTAAGATAGAGACTGAAACTTCTATCCTGAAAACCTTTAGATGCAGCCTGTGTCAAACACACCTGAACCAAATTAAGGGTTCATTAGCAGGTGTTTACAGGGCTGCGTGACTCATGCTGAAGAGGGGATTCTGCTGTGGTGTTCAAGGGTATTGGAGAAGGGACACTTTGGCTTGGGACAGGGGTCCTGATAGCTGCTTCACTGGTACTAGGAAGGGTTACCCATACTGACCTATGACAGGAGGAGTCAGCGTTTGCATAATAAACATATTTTTAATGTTTCTTTTCATTTCTAATTTTCTTTTTGACATTTCCAATTTAAAAATTCTATAAATGCAAATTTAATTAAAAAAGGAGGGTAAAAATGTCAAACTTAGCCCACTGGTGAGTTTGGGTGTTTTCAGAAGACGCAGAGGGAACTCCATGTGGTCTTTGAGGGGCCCTTGGTGCCGTGGGGAAGGCTTTGGTGGACCCTGGCTTACTGTAGGATAATCCCTTCCTTATTTGACCAATCAGGCATTTAGTCTATGTTCCACATAAGTAGTGGCCAGAAATCGGAAGCCAATTTGTGTCATTTGTGAAAACTGCAAATAAATAACAAATAAGACTTAAAATTGTCCAGAATTCTATAAAAAAAATGCTGAAAAAAGATCAGTCTGAAGAATTTATTTTGTAAACCATTCGATCCCTAATCATTTCTATATATAATATTGCAACCTGACTTTTTGTATTTGTATTTTACCTTGTAGACTTGGACCTGACAGATGCTGACCTATTAAAGGGTTTATATATATATATATATATATATATATATATATATATATATATATGCCCAAAAATCAACTTTTTTTTAACTTGCATAGATTTTCATACATGCAAAATTAACACTGGCCAAAGTTAGGTCTAAAGGCCTGCATTGAAAAAATATCTAAAATAACCTTATTCTGATGGTACAATAGAAACCACTAAGTTGCTATGAATTGCTTTTTTATATGAATTTCAGTACATGCAATAATTCTCTTTAAAGTTATTTTTATTAAGTTTAAAAAAAAACAAAAAAACTAGTGTTTCCACAGCAGAAAGAGTTTTTTTTTCATTCCACCTGGGGAGATCCCATCTACTAAAAGTGGATGAACCTGTCCTCGAAAAACTGTCCTGATAGAGAGGGAGGACTTTTTAGATTGAACCTGAACTAAAGAAGGTGCCGGATGGAAGGATGCTAAGCAATTCTTACCGACTGACCAAAAAGGATTTAAAAATATAAGCAACTCAGCTTGTCGGTGTGGTACAGGAGCTAGACAACACAGGAGAGCAAGTATAGGCGCTGAGAACCGGACATGATTGCAGGATGTCCTCTAGATTTGGGCTTACCTGTTCAATGCACTTCCATCCAGGAATGTTAAATCCAAAAGAAGCTGCTCTTTATTCACATGCCACATACCTGCTGTCAATCATCCCTATGAATAGTATGAACATTAGTTAACATGACTTCATTCTTCTAAAGATGTTTTATATTTTCTACAAGTGTTCTTAATGTTCCATCTGAATTTTCTGTTTGCTTTCTAAGCCAGAAGTCTCTGCAGGATTTCATTATGATTTCCTAATGTCAAAGATTCTAGGTTCTTGATCAGATCCATGTGTGCAGACTTTATTAAAATGCCTTGACTGATTAAGTTTTGCCCATAAAACATATGGGCACATCATAGACACTCCGCATAAAAACTCTAAAAACATACATTTCTCTTTCTATTCCTGCATAATTGTAAGATGAAGCAATATTTTTATGGATATGAACATCACTTCACTAAAAAGTAATATAGAGCCATCAATTAATAAGACATAACCAGCTGGCTTGTAAATTCAACTGTTAAATCTTAATCTCTGATAAACACTCTTGTTTAGACTGCAGACAAAATCCTGCAGGCCCTCAAGTCACCTCAGGTAATGATTAGGCAAGCAGGCATGGTGCTGGATTCTACTTCTTTTGAACTTTGAATACGCTGTTGAAGTCAGGAAGGTGCTATAGGGCTCTGTTGTGCAAAGACAACTGATATAAAACAAAATCATGATTTATTCCCTGTCCATCAATCCCATTCGCAATTTAAGACAGTGATATGAGCTGGAGCAGAGGAGGCCTCTGAGAACCCTCTCTTAGTGGTATTTGAATCGATGCATTGATGTTTTGGGGATGATAAAAAGCCTTGAACTAGTCTGGTTGTGTATTAGTAGAATATGAAAAGATGGCTGAATGCTGATACTGTGGAAAAGTATTGGATTTCTATCTTTTTATGTTGCATGTATGGCGGATGTATCCCTTGTCCAGGACGAAGGCAATTATTGTCGATTTAGTTGCATGAGCAGAAATATTTAAAGGGCCTATATAACTGATAAAAACTTTCAGATTTAACTATTTCATAATGCCATTCTTTACAAATTATATAAAGTGGTATTTTGCCTAATTTCTGCAATAGTAATCACAAGTCCTGCTGGTTGGAAGCAGCCCCTCTCCATTGTGAATGTTATCGCTGAGAAAAAAAAAGCCCACTTCCTGTAATTAAGAAATAAACACTCCATAGGGATGAATATTTTCGTGATGTTTAATTTGACCTCCATTCTCTCTCA